AACATTGACGGCATCCGAAATGTTCTGCTCACCGTATGGAGGTTTCTGTTTACAAATGTATGTGTTATGTTGGCTTGGCAGTGTGCCATCTTTCTCCCCGTGCCCTTGCTGCCACTGAAAAGATGCCATCACAGAATCGCTGGCAACCGTTGCCTGGGCACCTCTTCTTGGCTTTGTCCAAGCAAACAAACGGTGATTAGCAGCAATTCCTTAGAGGTGAGTCCTCCTGTCTTCGACTAAGACAGTTCTATGCCGACCGCCTTGATCGCTTCGGGTACGCCATGACTGCAGGCTGGCACAGTGCCCGCTGGCTGGCACGCAGTGACTGGCATAGACAGAAAGAAAAGTCGGAAAATGGATAGAATGTAGGATTTTTGCCGCCGTTTTTCTTCATATGATCAATGTTCACCAGAAATGACACCTTAGAGTTTCGTAGTATTCTCCATTTTCCTCTTCAACATCCTTCCCTGCTTCCCTTCATCCATCTACATCTGAGTCATCCTCTGTCTGCTGGCATCTTGCTGACTTCTATGCTTCGCTGTCCTCTGATATTTTCTATATCTTCATTTTCTCCGCCCGTTCTGCTGTTTGTTTCGCCCCATTGTGCCTGTGCCAAGGTGGCACTATGGCAGCAGTATGGAGGTCTGTTTCTCTTCCTCTTCCATTCTTATTCTCCTCGCCCCTTCGCCCATGCCCATGCCCGCCCCCGCTCAAGTCCTGACTGGATGGCACTGTGCCAACCTGCCACCGCCATCGCTCTCATTTGTAGCTCATCCCTCCGTTGCCCTTCCCCCTGTCTTTACATTTACATCCCTCTCTCTTCCCCTCATTTCATTCATCCACTTTCTGAATCATTTACACTGTGTTTGTATCAAATGCTGTGTTTGTGTATATCCATAATATTACTCAATCAACGCATATACAAGTTTTCATTTCTTAAATGCACACCGCAAACCGCTGGTCTTTGTTGTCATTTGGGAGACTTTTTTGGCACCTGAAGGAATGCTCTGAGTGACTGCCCTGTAGGTAATTACTGCAGCAGTTACTTATTCCACCGAGACAAGAAGAGAAAGACGAAGAGAGCCCTGAGTTTGGAGAAAGCCTGTGTTGTTTTAATTAACTTTTACCAACCCCCCATCATGTGTGCTTTGTTTCACATCTCTAAGAGCCCTGTGCAGGTTGTATTTGTTCACACAACTACTATACACCAATATGATTGATCTGATTATCAGTAAAATCGATTGTGTGCCATTGACCTCGCCCACTTCACCAAGATGACCCTTGCTCCCTTGTTTTTCTGTTTTTTCTCCTCTTTAAATCTCTCACGTCAAACAAAAGCTGCCAGTGGTGGTGGAGCTATTAAGCAAATACTCTCATTAGTACACAAAACATAATGAATATGTAAATGATGTGTGTAATTTATGCATGGGTTGAGAGACTTGTTCTCTTTTCAGTCCTCCATTGTAATCACTCTATTTATATCCCTTTTTCCTTCAAACTTCACACTCTTACGCCAATTTTCCTCTTTTCTTAGACCACATCCTGTGAACAAATCCACGGAGGACTTCTTGAGGTCTCACCATTGTCTCTTTTTTTTTGTCTTTTTTTTTTACACACTTCTCATTGCCTTTAACCATGGTTTGTAGTTTCTAATAGTCTCTCTCTTTTTCTCTGTTTGCTTCTTTCTGCTCACAGTCTGTCCTCTCAAATAACAAACCCCACAGTGACGCATTAAACAAACTACTGAGTGTTTGAACAAGGTCTTTCTTCCAGGAATATGAATAGTGAATAGTCTATCCACGAAATCACGTCAACAACTGGCTGTGTTGTGTACTGTGTTTTCCCTTTGTCCCTCTGTGGCTGTGTTGATCTTAATGTGTGGTCCAAACTGTGTGGTAAATTGAAGCGTGTCCTGATAGACGGTGAGTAGCCTTGCTCCTGTCTAGGATAAACACCTATAATACTCTGGCTCCCTTGGCAATCACCATAGCAACAAACCGTGGTACCCACGTGAGTTGCATAATAAGATGTTCCCCAAGACCATGGACCATAAAGCGGCGACAAACTAGACACCTGCAGCAATGAATGTGAATCGGAAAATAACCATTCAAATGTCAAACTTCAACTCTGACTCATCCTAGACTAATCTTTTATATTTATCTATAGGCTCGCATCACACAAAACACTCTGTGACGCACATGCACCTTCTCCCTTTCTCTCCAGACCTTAACAGGTGCTGATGAGCTGCAGTCAATGATTGTAATGAGCTATCGATCACCGTGGGAAAAAAGAGGGACAGAGAGGGGTGAGGGAGGTAGGGGGAACCAGAGGACACATACACACACACATAAACAGAAAGAGGTGGACTGCCAGAAAAAAAAGAAAAAAACTTCAGATGAACTAAATGGAGACAAGCCACCCAAGACAGAGTATCAATACCTGCTTTAATCAAGTCCTCATCACCTATTGTTCTGCTTAAAATAGAATTTATGGGATATTGCTTTCTGTCGAGGCAGGTTGAGGGGAACTGTTCAACTCAGAGCGGCTTCTGGACCGGCTAATCAGCTCAGGATGACCATGCAGACATGCTTGTCATGACCGAGTCCAGATGCCAGTGAATGGCACTGACGCAGTATCTCTATTTTCCTCTCTTTTTGTGCTGTGTGCATGGAGTGGAGGCAGACAGCTTTAGGGAAGGGGGAGGTGCGTTGTGTGTGTGTGAGTGTGTGTGTCGTGTGCGTTGGCTGGCGTTTCAGATAATGAAATGCAGCAGGGAACAAAGAGCTGGGGGCCCCTATTCTCTGTGCTGCAGCTTCATTTTCACTCCCGTCAGTCTATGATTCTTCCATACCCTCTTTCTTGTGTACATGTATGTGTGAGTGTTTATGTTTGTATGAGTGGGTTGTTGTGTGTACGTATGTGCCCTCCTCCTCCTGTTAGTATTCTGCATGGCAGATCCCCCTAATGTAATAACTGTGTCTGCATGTCTAATTTACAGCAGGAGAGAGTAAATAGCCTGTGGTTAATTACAGTATGTGTATGTGTGTGTATGTGTGTGTGTGTGTGTATGTATGTGTGTTTCTACTCCTGTTAGTATTCTGCATGGCAGATCCCCCTAATGTAATAACTGTGTCTGCATGTCTAATTTACAGCAGGAGAGAGTAAATAGCCTGTGGTTAATTACAGTATGTGTATGTGTGTGTGTGTGTGTGTGTGTGTCTATGCATGTGTCTACATGCGCGTGGGTGTGTCAGAATGATTTATGAGTTGCAAATAGCTACACCAGTGGCCCGTTTCTCCTCACTTAGTTTTTAATCTGTCTTTCCATTAATTTTCCTGGAGACGTTATTATGGTTTTATAACAGTGTGCACAAAGATGCACATGTGAGTGCACGTATTTGTTAATGAGACAGAGGTGTGGACATTTTGTGAGGATCGAGGCTACATTGGCACCTGAGCTGCACTTTGCTTTTCCCCCTCTCTACTTCTCCATTTCGCTTCCTTATGTTCCCTCTTTCTCTCTTCCGATGCTTCATTCACTCTCTTCATTGAGAGCCACAGTGAACACAGATCTTTATTGACAGTACACGGTAGAACATGGAAACAGCAGGTCAATCCGTTTAGCCCAAGGGCCGATACACCAATTCACCAATTTGTCAGTGTTAGTTTGAGAGAGAAAAGCAGCTAATCTCTCCTCTCTGCTCTCTATTGATCACACACTTAGACTCCACTTCTCTGTCTAAACACTATTGATTCTCTCTCTCTCTCAATCTCTTTCTCTCTCTCCCTCACTTTCTGTCTAGCTCTCTCCACATACCACAGCTCTCAACACATCTTCCCTCCATACACTCTGACCGCTTCTCACGTAAAGTCTGAATAATTGAGACTGTGTGTTCCTGTACATGAAGCCCTGAGTTAGATTTTAGATGAATGCTTGAGAATATTTTAGCATGAACAAAATAAGAACTTGATTTCTGTAATTCAGGAGTAGAACTTACCAACTGTGTAAACCATTTTAGAGTTTGGGCCACAGGTGTCACAAATCATTGTTCCCTGCCGAAAAGCATGGTGTCATTAAAAAAAATCTATTACTTAGCAACCTCTTTCAAAGTGAATACAGACTATGATTAAAATTCACTGCTGGGTACACTGTCTCCCTGGCTTTGTTTTTCAGTCTCACATCACAGGGTGCACTTGAAAAGGACCACATTCCTGTCAAGATGAAGGCTTTGTAAAAATGAGACAACTGATTATCTTAGGAGAGATCCCCCCCCACCACCATTTTTACATCAGGTCAAATTGAACCAAGGATCTCTATTTGATTGGATTTAGCTTGTGGGGACCCCTGTCATGAAACATTTTAGTTGATGGGTATGATTTGGTAGAGAAGTGAATATATTGTAGAAGCAGAGAGAGAGAGATAGGTGTATAACACAAAACTGAAATTCCTACAGCATTTATTATATCCACATCTTTCAATCTTAATGCTAAATTGAAGAAATCTGAACAACTGTTACTCACATATGAAAAGCAGTTAAAGCACCCATGGAGTTCACTAGCCTCCCTACATGTCTCTTATTTATTAGACTTGTATGCCCTCTACTGGTGAAATTGACCCATTACAAGCCTTTAGCTTTGCAGGTTACAAAACACAGACACATGGCTTGTGTAACTCAAAATTAGCTGTTTGATAACCGGCAGAGGGTAGGTTCAGGACGTGTAAATGACTGAGCTTCAAACGGTGCACTAGACTATTAATAGGTAACTTTTATAACATTTTACTTATAATATATATCGTCACCTTTCATTTGAAGATGCCTCCTTCAGCGGGTGGTGCTGAAGACAGTAAAACCTTGGTGAGAAAATTGCTGAGAGAAGTGCTGGTGGGTCGAGAGGATCCTGAGGGTTTCTTTGCGATGTGTCTGTCCGTCCTGGGGCACCAGGAGACCCGTTCACAGTTCCCGTCTCTCATCCGGCCCTTGTCCACGGCCAACTGCTCCATGTACTCCACCCTCACCGGCATCTACCAGGAGTATTTCTCTGTGGTCAGTGAGTGTTTGTTGAATGTAAGTATACTTAAAACGTTGCTTTGCAAAGAGGTTCAAAGTTACAAATGAAAACGCATCTGAAAGAAAAGAAACACCAACAGATATAAATGATTAAAAAAAAAACTTACCCCTTTGAGCTGCGGTTAGCGGTTCTTGACCACTGCAAGAGGCGAAAAAACAAACATAAAAATCCAAATGAGCTAAACTGTGAAGTGCAGTTGTCATGGCTAACGTGTTACCAAACAGCGATGTAGTTAACTTACCTCGGCTTTAACAGAAATAGAGAAATATGGACATCTCGTTGGATCCATCTTCCCGTACCTCTTAAATTGAAGTAACACTTACACTGGAATTTGAGCTACTTTTGTTTTTCTGTCTTTTTCCGGAGGAAAATAGCAAACCTCTGCCTTATTAAATATGCTAATGTGTTTGACAGTCAGTCCGTCGCTGTACCTGGCTCTCTGTCAGGTAAGCTCTTGTTAGCTCCTGTGCTGGTAGCAGCTGCCCCACAGTGTTGGTGACATTGTGTGGTACCCAAATGAGCTAAAAGTTAATGCATATGTGCTGACATTTTTTTAATTCGACTCTTACACTAGTAACCTATGTCACAATAATAATGTATTGTTACTATAGTGTAAAGTATTGTGTTTATATCTCTAATTAAAGTGAAACACAAAGAAGTAAATTATAACAATATCAATATATATATATATATATATATATATATAACAAATACCAATATGTGTAATCAAAAAGGTGTTTTAAAAGTTGCCTTTTATTAAGCACCCTGGTGTTTTCACTTATTCTGGTTGATTAAACCTCTGCTCGGCAGAGCTCTGCCAAGAATTACTTGAGGTCATTAATACTAAGTGTTCGTAAAATAATCAAACAAAAATATTAAGTGTCAGTATAATTGTTATTATATTAGAAATTTAGCACTAATAAAGATGGCAACAAAACCAAAACAAAGAGGGAGTCAGAGAGATGTCTGTACACATCCACACAGTCCTGAGAAGAGGTCTAATCAGCTCAAATAAGTGAAAACACCTGTGGGGTTTTACCGAAGGTTTGTAGGGTCTTAACCATCAAAAATGCATTAACAAACTGAAGATACCCAAGAACCTATGTATTGTAAAAGATGCCGCACTAAACTCAGTACAGTTTTTAATCAAAGGGGTAGAGAAGGGTAGAATGAAGGTATTTTTAAACACAAAAACTTGCTGTCTTACACTTGAACTGTTACTATTTGCACATGTAATTGCAAATATCACACATTAAATTTGTCACCTCTACCCCAACAACTAAGCGGTTATTTTAACAGTACTAATAATGGGTTCTTCTAATTCAATCACAGACTGAAGATGATGAACTGGAACTTGCATTGGCTCTCTCTGCACTGGAAATGAAAGATCACCAGATTGCAGCCCCCAGCCAAGAGTCCCGACTTCAGCAGCCTAAAGACAGACCGAATCAAAGCAGCTCTGTTCAACTGACCTCAGTATCTCAGCCTCAGGGAAGCAGCCACACCCAATTAGCAGATGTAGCTGGCAGGAAAAAAAACTCCCACTCAGCACAAAGTGGACCCTGGGGCATGGTGTGCCCACCACAGACAACCCGAGAGACTGAGCTTCAGAAAAGCACACATGTTGACAAATATAATAAAGGGACACCAGGGACAAGTCAAACTGAGTGTGTCTCCGAACCATCTGCCTCATTTTCCAAACAAGAGTTGGTTATAGAAGGTGGCCAAATGACAAAAGAGGGAGATTTGAATCAATCGGGGAAACCAAAACGCTCTAAGAACAGGCGACAACGGCGTAAAGCGGGCGGCCAGCAGGTTGTAGGTTTGCCCTGCTCTCTGTCAGCACCGCAACCAGTACTACTGTGGTTTAGGAGGGATTTGCGACTGTGCGACAATCCTGCTCTCATTGGCTCATTGGAGGTTGGGGCACCTGTCATACCTGTCTTCATCTGGAGCCCTGAAGAAGAGGAAGGACCTGGGATTACTGTGGCTGTGGGGGGAGCTTGTAAGTTCACATCACTGCCCTTCTAAGTATGGCACTCTATTGTGGTGACTGGCCTCTCCATATATTTTTCACCAAATTACCGTTTTGTAAACTGTTTGCAATCATACTTTCTATTCTTTTTACAGGTAAATACTGGCTTCATCAAGCTTTGTCTCATTTCTGTTCGTCTCTGGAGTCCATTGGCAGCCACCTCGTCTTCCTCAAGGCAGATGGAGGTGGGGACGGTGTGGGATCTTCTCTGTGTACCCTTAAGGAGCTGATAAAGAAGACTGGGGCGAGAACAGTCCTGGCCAATGCGCTGTATGAGCCCTGGCTGAAGGAGAGGGATGACGTGGTGGTGTCAGATCTGCAGAAAGATGGTGTTGAATGCAGGATGTTCCATTCTTACTGTCTCAGAGACCCTTACTCTGTCAGTACGGAGGGTGTGGGACTCAGAGGTTAGTCACAATAAGGCGAACATGGTGCATTGGGCTTTCTTAAATATTTGTGTTTAAAGCTTGGATCGTGTGTAGCAATCCAAGCTGAATTGCAATATGGCCATTTTTGCTGAACTTCTGTTTGTTTCTTCTGTGATGTAGGAATAGGTTCAGTGTCTCACTTCATGAGCTGCTGTAGACAGAACCCAGGATCTGCCTTAGGGGTTCCTCTTGACCCTCCAGCATCTCTCCCCACTCCCGCTCACTGGCCTCAGGGTGTCTCTTTGGACACTCTCGGGCTGGCACGCATGCCCCGCAGGAAGGATGGCACAACAGTCAGTAACTACAGCAGAGCAGTCCTCAAGAGCCGAGCTAAACCCCAGAATACAATTACGAGTCCTGCAGTCCTTAATATTTTCTTGTGTTCATTTTTGCATTCAGATTGACTGGGCAGCTAACATTCGCAAGTCCTGGGATTTCAGTGAAGAAGGAGCACAAGCACAGCTAGAGGCCTTTCTCCATGATGGTGAGACACTTTGCATGCACATTTTAAAGATCATACATTGTGTTTGTAGTACTGTTAAGAAGCATAGCATTCATTTAACAGTACCAGTCACCTATGATTACTTCCATGTTTCCTAGGTGTTTATAGGTATGAAAAAGAGTCAGGAAGGGCGGATGCTCCGAACACCAGCTGTCTATCTCCCTACCTTCACTTTGGTCAGCTCAGCCCACGCTGGCTATTGTGGGATGCCAAAGGGGCACACTGTCGACCCCCAAAGTTCCAACGCAAACTGGCCTGGAGAGATTTGGCCTATTGGCAGCTAACACTATTTCCTGACCTCCCCTGGGAATCTCTCAGACCTCCATACAAGGTAGAAATTGGCTACAGACTAAAGAGGAAAGGTACATTGCATTTATGTGATAACAAATAAACATTTGAGCGTTACACATAAATGCAATGTACGCTTAACTTTCCTCTTAAGTCATTAAAAGCCCATATAACACTCTGAAAAACAATGTTTATTACAAAGCGTTATTCATTTACTGGTATTTGCAGGCTCTGCGGTGGAGCAGTGATCGTGGCCACCTGAAAGCCTGGCAGCGTGGTCGAACAGGCTACCCTCTGGTGGATGCAGCTATGAGGCAGCTGTGGCTGACAGGCTGGATGAACAACTACATGAGACATGTGGTGGCGTCTTTCCTCATTGCATACCTCCATCTGCCCTGGCAGGAAGGCTACCGCTGGTTCCAGGTGAGACATTCACATATACAGGCACAGAATGCACTCATATAGATATCATGTATAGCAACATACACTGACATTATCTGACATTTACAGGACACCTTAGTGGATGCAGATGTTGCCATAGATGCTATGATGTGGCAGAATGGGGGCATGTGTGGTCTGGACCACTGGAACTTTGTCATGCACCCTGTCGATGCAGCAATGACCTGTGACCCCTACGGCAGCTATGTTAGGAAATGGTGTCCTGAACTTGCGGATCTGCCTGATGAGCTTATTCATAAACCTTGGAAATGTCCTGCATCTATGCTTCGACGTGCAGGTGAGGAAAGTGGCTGTGTGGTCACCTATTGACTTTTTTTCTGAAATTAGTTTGTCATCCAAAAAAACTACAACTTTTTCAAACCATGACACAGAAATCTCCTTTCCTTGCAATCCTCACTGTTTAGGTGTCGTGTTTGGCCAGACATATCCTGATCGAATAATTACAGATCTAGAGGAGCGACGGAGCCAGTCTCTGCAAGATGTAGCTGTGGTGCGGAAAGAGTTTGGACATTATGTTGATAAGCGCACAGGCTGTGACTTGGTGCCTCTGCCCCCACGCCTTGTCTCAGAGGCCCTCGGCTTATCACACAGCAATGGTGGTGTGGTGGCAGAAGGGAAACAGTTCCTGTTGCCTGTTATCACCCGCATGGAATTCAAACACCAGCTAGAAGATCCCGATGCAGACGCTGCCTCAAATCCCTACAATGCTGTTCTAAAGGGGTATGTGAGCCGCAAAAGGGATGAGACCATTGCCTTCCTTAACGAGAGAGACTTTACTGCCAGTGTGATGTATGAGGGAGCGCAGCGCAAGGAGAGGCTGGAGAAGGATTATCGCAGAATGGAGGGACTCCCTCAGCCTGCAGCCCCTCGGGGCAGGGCCAGACGAACGCCAACAGCCAAGGACAGGTTCTCTATAGTGCCTGGTGGGGCTGTTACTTCACTCAGGTGACCGGGACATTAAGACTTTAAGTTTACAGGTATTAAGAGACCAGTTACTGGTCTTAAAATGCAAACGTAAAAATATTACAGAAAATAGGTTCTAAGTGCAAGACATGGGGCAAGGACCGATTTGTTTGTGTTAAGACAACTGAGAACATTTGTGAGAGGGTTGCAAAATGCTCTTAAAATTTTGTACATTGAGTTTTCAGTATAATCTCAGGTAATGAGCAATGATATTATTCTTGCCTCTGTCAAAAACATTGGTCCAAGTTGGCTAATATTTTGGTGCAGCTTCCTTTCTTGAAGGGCTACTTTTTGTCATGGAAATCTGAGGTGTTTCACGTAACTATACATATACTGTACATTGTTAAGTGTGAGAACAAGGGGAGAAAGGAACATGGGGAACAATGTTTCTTACAAGATCATTCTCAAAATATATGCCTGTTTCACAGTTTGCAAGCTGATGTAAACAGCATCAGAAAAGCTGGGATCTCGTGTGTATCAAAAGTCTCCAGTTACATTGGAGGTGGTGTTGGTTTCCAATCTTGTGTTCTGAATTTTTTTTTTAGCTACCTTTTTATATACATTTGTATAATGAGATCTAACTTGAGGCTGGAAATGTTGCCTAACATTAAACAAGTAAATAAAAAGAACAGCTTAAGTAATGAAAATGAACAAATAGCATTTATATGATGTGATGCCCTGACATAGTGTCAAGAATATCACCTGTTCATTACCTGTGTAATGCCAAAGATGTGCAGTTACATTGAGAGAAATTATAGGTCAAGTTGTAATTATTTTAACTTAGGGAAATAAAAAATGAGAGGCAAAAGAATGTGTAAGGAAATGTTTATTTTCTATCATACAGGTCCCATGTCTACAGTGTACCTGTCATACATGCAATGTAGACCAACATAATTAATAATACCATAACGACCAAAGTGCTTTTTAACATCTAACAACGTCCTAGAATAGAAATTCAAGTTTATGTTTGACAGAAATGCTTGGAAAATGTTTTATTGACTGTGAGTCTCAGTGTCTTCTGTTTGGGGCTTTGAGGCTATAAGAACTCAACACTCAGTTGAGTTCAGTGAGTGCAGACTGGCAGGTCCCCTAAAGTCAGTCTTTAACAGTAGATAAAGGATTCCTAATGTTCACAGCTCTACAACACTGGCAGGTCAGCAAACTAGAGCTCTTGAGCTCTGCTGGTGGATGCTAAGCATAGTGTTGTTCCTGACACAGGCACATCTAGTGCATCTCCCTGCCAGTGGTGTTTGAAAAGGAGAGAGGGTACATAGCACTTATTAGGAGGTGTTAGGTTAGTCCTCAATGGAGCGGATGTATCTCTCATAGGCTGCTTCGTCCATCAGAGCATCAAGCTCAGCAGGGTTGCCAATGGTCATCTTCATCAGCCAACCTAAATGTAATAGTAGAATCAGGTTAAGCTGAGAGTCAAGGACCATGCCAATATTTTGCATATGCAATCCCTTTTATCTTAAGTCACATATGTTTAACATCACCAAAGCAGTCTTTTCCAGGCAGCCATTGGCGTTCTTTATTTCATCAATTACAGTGTGAAAACAAACTTTAGGCCTTTAACTTGCATGGGTTAGGTAATCCATCACAGTGAATTTTATGTTTCCCTTTACTGTTGTCAAATTTACATGAGCAATGCAATGATAATGTAATTCTGACAACAGCAAAAGGAGATAATGTTCAGAGTGGTGAATAACTATACATTGATCATCAAGTTATCAAGTTTCAAGCCTCTTTGTGGATTTCCATATTTGTTATTGTAATAAAACCTAGTTGCTGTCTGGGAGGTAGGAAAAACAAAAAAAGTGCAAAACCACTGGTACAGACATACAGGTTAATTAATTGAAGAGACGATTCATTTTAATTGTACAAGACGAGCTTCATGTCCTTACCGTGTACAAGATGTACACCAGTCAAAGGATAACTGCAGTAACAGTGTTTAGAACTGTCTAAACAAAGACTGGTGAAGGATCTAAATGGATTAGACAATGTATTTTTACATGTGTGCTTACCATCTTTGTAGCAGGATTTGTTGACCAGACCAGGGTTGTCTGCCAGTCGTGTATTGACCTCTACAACTTCTCCAGTCAAAGGGGAATAGAGCTCACTGGCTGCCTTTACACTTTCCAGAGCTCCAAACTCATCTGTGGCATTAAAAGTTAGAAACAAATGCATTTATATCAAAGTTAAGCCATGTCAGAAGAACAGCAACTAGACAGAAGGCAGGGGTGAATATTGCTAAGTTGTTTAAAAAACAGTTGATAATCAATTGTCTTAGTCCATTTTCAAGCAAAAACAGTGACGTAATGCCAAACATTCTCTGATTACAGCCTTTCAAATGAGAGATTTTCCTGCTTCTCTTTGTCATACATCATTGTAGACTAAATATTTCTGGGTATTTGGACTTTTGGTTGAACAAAACAAGACATCTGAAGACATCCCATCTGGCTCTGTGGAGTTGTGATGGGCATTTTTCTGAGGAGGGCTTTTCACAGTTGAAAACTTGTCACTATTTCCCGGCAGTGTTTCAAAAATAAATTTCTGACATTTCTGCACTTTAATTTCTTTTAATTTATCAATCAACACATACCCAAGCACTCCATCTCATGTCTCAACAGTAATGTAATATTAATATTACCAGCTACTGATTGGACGAGTTACGTGTGATCAGGCTTAATCCCCTTCATATCAGTACTTAAGCAGTGGGTGTGATGTCAGCCAAAGCCACAGCTTCATACCTTGCTGCGCCAGCTGTGTCCCCACCTCTGGCAGTCCACAGTAAACAACATCTCCCAGAGCCTCCTGTGAGTGGCAGAAAGCAAGGTCAAAGGTAATAGCACAAACATTTACTTAGTATGTGCGCTTGTGCTGTTACGTTTGTGTGTAAGCTTCTAGCCAGGGGACTTACTTGCGCGAAGTTGCTGATACCGACAGTCCCAATCCCGTCGTCTTCTACTCGAATCCATTCGTGCTTGTCTGTGAATTTAAGTGCTGCAAAACAATACAACAGACTCAGAACACACAGATCTCCCCACCAAACTTTTACGTTTTTTTTTGTTTTTTTTTGTTTTAAATCCCCGGTCAGTATGAAAACCAGGAGGAAACCCCAGACATGCTGCAGCGTCCTCTGCTCCCATGTCCTTTACTCTATAGCTAATGCTACCCAACAGCTACCGAAAATGTTAAGCTAATATGCGCGACACTACAACACATTCACAAAGGCGGGCATACCTGCTAATAATCGGCTGGAGGAGGCTAGTGTTCTCCGAAAATAAGGTTTCGATGCCAGCCTCAAAGGAGAAATCGGCGCCGAGCGGGTAAGTAAAGGCAAAACTGTAGAAAAGTTGGAAGACAGGGAGCGGAACAGCCCACAGGCAGCCATGTTTGTCGCTTAATGATGAGAACATGGGGCTCTTCTTCGTGGATATCAGAGGCACCGGTGGCGCTTTACTGCCCTCCACTGATCAGGATAACATTGTCGATACAACAAAAATAAACTGAGTTGGCTGTTTCCATGCAGCAAGGTGGGTATCATGTTTTAGATCAAATGTTTTGGATCGGACAGATCGGATCCTCCACTGAACAGCCATATTCACAAAAAACCGGATGATTACCAATACATTTCCAATAAAGTTCACCTGAAATTAAAATTGAAATGTTTGCCTATATGTGTACCTTTGGCGTTTCTTTTGTTACTTGTGTACTTCTTTGTTCACAAGTCATTTCCAAAATGAAGACGTTCATCACAGTGCCTAAATCTCTTAACAGCTCTGGATTATTAAAATTTGGTTTTGTTGTTTTATTTTGAAATAATGCCTTCCTATTTTTTCTTGCTGGTGTTTCAACCATCTTGCCATCCTGAGTTCATTTTTTAATGATAGGTCACCATAATATTGTGCTTTACCCATCAAAACCTCAAATTCTAGGTTTTCTTTTTAAAAATAGAGTTTGGCCTTGAGTTTTTTTTTTTTTTTTGCCAGCGACTCCAGAGAGACCTGAAACCCATATTATTAGAGCAACTAAATAGCCCTATTTTCTCATTAAAAATCATCTTATCGAAGATATTGTGCAAACTTTTGATGTACTACTCTTCATAGTAATACAGTCACTGATTCTGAAATTTTGTTGCTCTTTAAGCTCCTCCACCCACATTAAAGCTCAAATCACTGCCAACAATGCCAAGTACACACACGGGCTATATATATATATATATATATATATATTGCCTGATTACCTTGCTGTATTCTAGGTTATGCCAAATGTATTATGCCACTTTCCATTTCTGTAAACCAGCTGAGATCCCGTTTCTGTTCCAAATACTGCCCTATGTCTAGACATCTGACTGTTGCGGTCTGTGAACAAAATCAACATCAGCTCCAGACTGAATCAACTGGGCTTATCAAAGTGATGACTGTTTGATCGGCCCACTGCTTTGCTGTTATTTTTGCATCACGTTCCATTTGGAAAATAAAGCCTGCTATTGGCTGGATAAGAGGTCCACTGAGTCTAGCAGCACACCAAATAAAGAAAAAGAAATGGAACGTGTTAAAATTATGTTTATTTAAAAGAAGATTCTGGCGAGGAACACAGGGTTATGTTGTTTTAAACTGCTTCTTCCCATGATAATAATAGCTATCGCCTCTTAGAGACCCATAAATCAAAATTTTAGACCCAGAACATTATTTTGTGTGATTAACGTGCACTTTAACATCCAAAGCAATCCCAGTTTCTCACATTGTGTAACCATTTTGGAATTTGTATGTGGTGCTGGCTACACATGCTAGTTAAATAGTTTTGCAGTTAACACCCACTTTAGTTCAGATTTACTGATTTAAATGACCCATCTGCTCATCTAAGGGCTCCACTGTAAATAAAAACAAAATTCTGAAGTTCCATGACATTCCAGGATGATCCAGGATGCTTATCAGAGTTGTTTCAGGAGCCGTGCAGACATCCCAAGATGACAGGTGGTCTCCAAGTGTAGACTTTCAATTATAATCTTTACCGAAGCACACAAGGACTGATCAGACAGGGCTCATTGCTTATTCTCATTGACCAACCTAAAACAAAAACTTAAATTATTTATTAAGTAACACTTTTATTCATACAAAACAACAGAATATATAAAGAAAATGTCACTCTCATGCCTGGGAGTTCTACTATTGCTCAAAATTGCATTAGCTGAGGAAATGGCATGTTTAAAATAAAATAAAATAAAATAAAATAAAAAATAACAAAGCAAACTTGAGTGTTTCACACAACCATACACTCCCTTTGTCCTGTTCTGGCTTCATAAACTATACTGTAAAACAACTAAAATACAGAACGACTAAAAGTGTCCTCCCCTATACCTGGGCTAAAAGCTACAAACATAAATAACAAAAGCACATTTGTTTGGCTTTTACATTACACAGCTTCAAGAGTCCATCCAGTGTCCACTTTTCCTTATTTGATTCTGAAGATGAGGAAGAAAAAAAAAAGAAAGAAAAAAGAACAATAACAACAACGATAACAACATCGATAACAGTAAAGAGAAACAACAGCTTGCTGTGGAGAGAGTGAAACAGAAGGGATGAAAACTCCTGTATATGTTTGGTTGTTTTGGTTGGTTTTGTTTCTCCATCAGAGCTCATCTGAAGCTCGCTCGGCCTCGTTGAAAAGGCGTGTAACATGTAACATGTCTGTATTAGGTCCCTCCTGCAGGATGGGGGTGCTGTGTGCTGCTGGGTGGGTGTGAAGAGCAGAGGTGAGTACTGGCGGTCCGTGGCAGGCAGACAGAGGGGGGGTCTTTAGTCTGTAAAGTCTCTCTCCTCACTGCAGGAAGGAACAGCTAGGTTGGGAAAGCCAGGAAGTTCATCTCGGACCACTGTCAAGTCACCAGCGTGCACCACAGACAACACTCTCTTTTGTACACACACTCCCGACGTCTCTGTGCTCACACACACGCGCACAATCAGCCAGACCCAGACACCCCTGCTGGTTCTTAGGTGGTTCGTTCCTCCCCATCAGTCTCCTGCTTGGTCCTGCGCAGGTTGCCTTTCATCTTCACAAACTCGGGGGTGTTCTCCTGTTCCTCCTCAATTTTCTGTTGCTCTAGCTCCAGCTGCAGAAATACAGACATTAGCAAAATTATAGAGGCTGATCTGTTGATAGCAACATGTACGGCATGCAATCAGGGACTAAAAGAAGCGAGGACCTTTAATCTTTGTTTTCTCTTGTGGTCAGATACAGTAACACAGAACATCATTCTAAGTGCTAAAGTGACAATTTATACTAATTCTTTCAATCATTTACCTGCTCTAGTTTCTGTTGTCTTTTCATGAGCTCTATCTCCAGGTCACTCCTCTTCTTGTGGGCCTCCTGCTCCTCCTTCTGAGCCTTAAGAACTTGCTCCCTCTTTCTTTTCTCCAGAACTTTCTGGAGCTCAGGTTTGTTTTGAGGAGCCAGACCCCTGTGCAGAATCAATAAGTGAAACACAGCATGTTACTAAAATAAAGCTTATTGAACAACCTGCGGCAATGCATGCTAATCACACCAAAGAGTCCCACTCAGAGGGAGACTGGCATTCAAATTCATGCGTAACAGATGATGACTGTGACCTCATTCAAATTTGACATGCAGATCTGTATTAGATGTTCTGGATTAAACATTTCAATCGTGTTTCAGGAAAGTTTTGATTTTGAGCCAAACACAGATTGTTCCACATTTAACAATCTGTGTACATGATGATTGCCAGCACTGGAACTGACTTTGGAAAAATGATCTGAAACCATGTGCCTGTGTTCCATTTCTTTTCTTTTTCTAAGAACTGAAAAACAATCCTCAACCGTCAACCCAAAAATTCAAAAACAATTTACAAACACATTCCTTATATAAAGCTGTCTTGGGGGTGATAAGTCATTGGGAGCCAGTGGGATTGTTACGCAACTGCATGGGTTTGTGTTGCAAAAAAAATCAAAAAGAGGACAGGGACATCTTAGTAAAGTGTGAGGAAGAGCAAAAAATACGAAATGTTATGTAATACTCCAAACTTCTCCAAATTACAAGAGAGAAGGGTGGGGGCTGAGGATGAGACTTGGGAAGCAGAAGTACTTAGGACAGAGGGGAACAGAGATGGGTTGGAGTCAGCAAGAAAATGCAAAAACCAATAAACAGCAAAGCCTGCAAAGGATTAGGAGGCACAATAAAGTGCCACACAAGAAAAAAAAAAAAGACAGAAAAAGGTCATTGGCTATCCTTGGTCAAAAATTCAGTCTCTATGCTCTTAATTAATTAAATTTATAAACCATCTTATCCATATTACTTGACTCTCCTCTACGGATTTTCCTTTTAGCCATGACTCTGCACAGGCTGCGTCAGTTCTTCAAAGAAAACACTGCGTGCCTACCTGACTGCAGTTTAGCAACAACAGTGCCTTAATTAAATGCATTATTAAATCCTGAAGATTACATAACCGGGTCCACGATGTTCCAAGAAGGAGTGGGAGTTAATTTACAACAAGTCACTATGTTACCTAAAGCCACTGCTGCGTTTAAATACCCTGGTTTTCCTGACAGTGAGGGTCTCATGAAAGCACTTAGCGAGCTGAAGCAGAGCACAGTTTTAAAAGATGTGATGGGGTCAGGCTAATTGGTGCAGGGAGGGAGGAGGGTCAAGGTCACTGAAAGCAATAAGACAAGGGCTATAAAGGTGCTTCCTCTACTCCCCTTTCACTGTGGGCAACGTTTACATAACCACTGACCCTCCTATCCACGACCCCTCCTATGAGTGCACGCCCTCTAGCAGACGGGGAGGAATGTGTGTTCAAATCCCGCACATCAATACCTCCATCTGCTCAAATGCTTCCCCAGTCTTAGTGGCTGAATTTCTGAAATTCTTCTGCGTGTGTTTGTGTGTGCGTGTGTGTGTGGGAAGGGTCATTACAGCTAAGGTAGCAACGGCAGCAAAAGGCCCTCAGATAGAGACTGTTTTATAATCTGGATTACATAACACGTTTTTTTTTTTTCTCCCTTCTTCATACAGCCATCCATCCATCCATGCATGCAGAGATCCACCCACCCACCCCACCCCTCCCCACTCTCATCACTGTGACTAATCCAGGCAAGCTTTCCATATTTTCAGTGTACGATAGAAAGCCCAATCAAAACAGGTTCATACCTTAAAGAGCCCACTAGATTAATTCTACAGACTTCAACTAGACACTCTCTGTCTGGACAACTAGGAACAATATTCTGCAGCATGTGGAATGGAAAAAAAAAGTTTTTCTAACACTGTTATTAATTTTCCATGGACTTCTGGCCTCTTTCCGATCATCCAATAATGCCTTCCCTGCATCACTACAAAAGCTTTGACACATTTAAGACAGAGCATCACTGCTGTGATGTAACAGCTGTCATCAGCATGTGTGTTTACGTATCTATTTATAGTGTGGGCACAAAGCTGCTGGCGCTGTATGGTGAGATAAAATACAAACATCTAGTGTCAAAAGGGCGATCACAGGCCTCAGTATGCATGTGCATTTATCCTACACTGTATGACCTTTACATAACCAATTTTTGACACACTAATGCACTTGAGGTTTTATATAATAGCTTCAATGAAAGTTTTATATCTTGAGTTTTGCATAATACCGCTGCTGGAGGTTGGAGGAACCAGTGCACTGAAGTGACACACTGCAGAAGCATCAGCACAGTCTGCATGGATATTTTCAAATCAATTACAAGAAAGTAGCAGGGTTACTGTATTAACTCATCCCCACATGAGTAGAAGTTAGACTAAATTAGCCTGGATCTGGACACTGTAGTGTTTTCCCCTGTCTAACCTGTTTAGGGGCACACTTGATACTGTTTGCCATAAACAAACAAGGAAATGATGATGTTGGACAGCAACAGACAGTATCATTATCTGTCCAATCATTTGCTGCACGTGGAAAAAAGTGACTTATCTGCTTCATTATTGTCCCAATCACAGGCTTGGAAACCAGCCATGCTTGTTTAACACTGCTCTGGTTTTGTTTATGTTCCATAAACCTTGATAAAACTGTGAGTGGCTAATTGTAAAATTAGAATTGCTTCCTTAAAAGTATGCTGGGAATTACCAGGTGTGTTTATCAGGGAACAGATAGAAAAGACATACAAATGAGCCATCAAGAGATAGAGAGACTGAAGAAGTATGTTTTCCTGTCTCCTGACCTCTTCTGGTTCATGAGCAGCTCCCGGTGCAGGTCCTGGTGGTTACGGGAGTTCTTGACTGGGTTGATCAGCTTCTTGGGTTTGATGAGCTCATCACAGTCTCCCTCCAGATAGTCTGGCTCCGCCATGACACTCCTCCCTGGTGACAGCGACAGACCAGGGTCACACGGATCTGAGTTGACAGAAACAACAGAAAAACACCTTAATTTTCATTAACAGCAACAGTGAACAACATTCATAAATACTAATATGAAACATACTATGGATGCAGCAAACACAGACATTTATTTGTATATGTGGAAACAGAAATCTCAGTGTGTAGCCAAACATTTTTCTTGGACCTATCATTTCTCTGAAATTGCACTCCTTTCCAACCCTGATATGAGCGTCTCCCTGATTCTCTGGCATAAGCTCAGAGTTTTGGAATGGTCTCTATAGTGATGGAGAGACTCAGCACTGGAATTACATAATTGTTCCTCACTGAGTGAACACGCACATTTCATCCTCCTGTCAGGTGATATAAAAACCATATGCAAAATAATGAATCCATGAATCAGGACAGCACAGAGCCACATGTAATTGTTTTTCAAACACATACTGTAGTTATGTAAATGTCAGACGCTGCTGATACAAAACTAGCCCAAAGGCTCAGACTATTGTTGTTCACAACCCCATGAATAAAGCAATTTCTACTCATGACCTCCAGATGTGGGCACAAATCCTTTGGACATTTTAAGTGAAGAAAGTATTAGCCAGAAATGTTTGTATTACAGCAGCTGTAAAAACATTATTTTGCCATTTTTATAAATATAAATCAATACATTTGTGGATAACCACCATCATCTGTATCAAGCCATTATAAAACCAAGAAATAACTGGGATTTACAGCAACTTTTTATCAATACCTCATATTAAGGGCAGACTGAATGCAGTAACACAACAGTAAAATAACTTTTATGGCAGCTAAGTGCTACTTTTACTAGACTGCTTTGCTCAATGAAAATCCTACTTGCATCTGAATTGATGGCGCACACGTTCTGAAACAGATTTATCTGGAGATCTAACCAACCATAATGAGAACAGAATAATATTTGACCAGAAAGTTGTGTTTTACGAAACATATCTAACTCCTACATTAACATATAGACATGTACATATACATATATATGTACTAAGACTGAAACAGCTCAGTACTCCACTTTTACTTATTATTATAAATACACAAAATTCAATCTTGGCTTAACTCACCCTGCAGATGAGGAAAGACGGGGTATCTGAACATTGTCGTCATCTCTGCTATTTTGATTGGGAATTTAGTTTCCAGGAAAAGCTGTTAAAAATCGCTGTCCTGTTTATCAGTGTGTTGCAGAGCCTCACGAAGGAGAGGTGCTTTGTTCTGCACAGCTGTCTGCTACTGAGCTGGTTGGAGTTCAAAGTCTGTTTTATAGCTATGCTCTCTCTCTCTCTCTCTCTCTCTCTCTTTCTCTCTCTCCCCAACACTCACACATGCACACATACACTTTCTCTGCTCCCTCCCTCACCTACTCTCTCCCACTCACTTTCAATGCACATCTCTGGACGCAGAAGAGTTTATAAGCAAATTTTCTCCGCTGCTTAAGAAACAGATTATTCACAGATGACTAAATATCCTCAGTTGTTCCTTTATGGAACTATATGTTTTTTTTTTTTTTTTATCTTGTTGAATAACAGTCCTATGTGTACATACTTGGCAGGGTCTTGGCAGGTCTGTTTTAAAATATCAGTAAATTGGTATAATAGTAGATTACAAACTTACAAAATTAGCGGAGTATGTTTATGTCAGTATTAGATTCAAGTCTTGTCTTCTACCACAGACTGAGGAATGAACGATTTATAAACAACCATACACTCAAATGCCTGTGATTTTAAGGTGTTGCCTGGTTATCAGTCTCTCTTGTCTGTGACTGATAACAGACTGATAATAGACTGCTGTTTTGAAGCTTGATCAGGCTGGTCAGTCTGTACTCGTTCCAAAGAATCATTACACTGCACGTGCTAGACACAAAAGGTGGTGGTGGGGGAGCGTGTCCTCAGAATCAAAACATTACACGCAGAGGACTGCTGTAATGACTTAAAGAAACCACTAGAGGTCGACATTCTTGCATCCCAGACACTAAACCATGTCAGTTACATAACAAAGAAGCCTGAGATAAACATGGTTTGTGGCTACATGCTGCAGAACAAAGAGAGAAATGCCGCTCAATAAATACTCTTGATGAATAGAATGGAATATGGTAACAAATGAAAATACTGCTTTTTCATAGTCATAGTAGTGAGTAATCCCTTCTAATCTCAGATTAGTAACCCTTTAAACACAAATCTTAAAATCTATGTATACAATAAATACATTTAAAAAATAATCAACCTAAGACAGACAGGTTCAGGGCCAAGTTTGTTTATTTAACATTTATTTTCATAAATGACTACATCAGTGGCTGTAATGTTGTTAGGACACGCCAGTCACAGGACATTTGGTGGCACAGGCAGGACATGGTGACAGTGTTTGTGCATGTGAGATGGCAAAGGTGGGCAGAACAGCTTGTGGCTGTAATCAGGGGCTGCGTCAGGGGCTGCACACACGTGCTTTGTACATCAAAGGCGGCTTCTGTTAATACCGGAAGCAGGGGGTAGAGCCACTCACAGACTGGCAGTGTTGTCAAAGTGTCCGTTAGTTTAACACATCTGCTCCGACTTCCTCTGTGCCCCGAGGGAGAGGGGAAGTGACATAGGGAGTTCAAAACGGATCTGCAACCTCAAATTGCAGACCTGTTTAAAGTCAGCCTTATCACTGGTAGTTTTACATGTTTTATTGTGTGTTCCCTCTGGTTTCACTTAAAAGCTATATAGGTAGCATGTTTTACTATCAGTTAAAGCCTAAAACTACTAAAGAACAATACAAATAACCAAGTTAACATGTTGCGGTTGCGCTGTCATTCAGAAAAAGACCAGCATTCAACATATAGTTAAATGGCAGTAAATGGCATGTGTTAATATCTGCACATCTATTTTCGACACATTTCTATGCCAAAACATGCACCGCATAAGCATCGCTCCGAGCATGGATATCGGCATGTCATTACACTTACTGCTGTTCCGGGAATCCCATTAAACAGTTTGTTTATTGGTTTTGGGAAACACACCCTCACACACACACACACACACACACACACACCCTCACACACACACACACCCACACACACCAGCACGACACACACACACACACACACACACACACACACACACACACACACACACACACACAGATAATGAGACTCCAAAAGGACCTGATTCTCCCTATGTTTCCATGAAACAGGGCGCGGTATTATTTAGAGGATTCAAAATGTCCAAGCATTAAGGGGTGAAATGGGAAGAAAGTTGGTGAAAACAATGGAAAAGAACGGAGGAAAACTGGGTCAGAAAAGAGTCTAGGAAAAGAGAAAAGGGAGTTGGCTGAAGACAGCTTTCCTCTGTTTACTTCACTCTTCAGTCATCCTCATGACCTGTGTATGACTGTGATCTCATACACTGTGAAATGTCACATTTTTTTGTCACATTTTTGAACCAGCTAGCTACCGGAAATATCCAATCAATCATATGAGGAAAAATATCAGCAGAAAGATCTAAAAAGTAGTGAAGAGAGAGAGGCTGAAACTATACAAATACATTTTCAATGATATATCACTCATAAAAAAGTGAAAAGAAAATGTGCATGTGGCAATTTATTTTAAAAGGAGCAAGTAATCTGATGAATATGTTTGATGAATGTGTTTGCAACAGTGGACTGTGTTTGTGTGAAAGTGTACCCCACGGTGGCAGGCTGCATTAGAGCTGATACAATGACTTATCTTGGAAGGGTAGAGCGCTTGCACTGTGCCAAGTGATTGCATCATCGCGGCCAGCTCTGCTGTGTGAGCTAATGCACACACAGACTTGCATTCATAATACAGACTCATTTCTCAGTTTCTCCCTCAACTGTCATTTTCTCTAAGTCACCATGGAGACCTGCCATCACCCACACTTAATTTAGTGACACAGCAATCAGGAGCAGCACACAGCTGATGCTAACTTAAGGCTTCCTATGGGCAAACACTTCCAACAGCTGAAATAAGCTCCTTAAAGCAGATATAATCAATTTTTTTTCATAGAAACAATAGACCAAATGACTATGTGTAATGTAAAAGGTGTCGCTTATAGTGATGAAGCCACAGAGAATTATCACCCACAGTTCACCTCAGGTTGATGGAGCTTTAGAGCTTCTTTCAGCTGACTGGTTTTGTTTTCCAGCCTGCAGCTTTACTATTCTGGTTCAGTCACACCGCTCTCAAAGAGGCGTTTTCAGCAGCAGCATCTGTTTTTAGCAAAAAAAAAAAAAAAAAAAAAAAAAAAAAAAAAAAAAAAAGCTCTGATAAACCCACTGTCCACTTCTGCTGCTCAGCACCAATCAGCAGACAGACATACTTTGCCACAAGATGCTAAGCACAAGTGGAGCATTTAGAAGCTAAAGAGCCAGATATTTCCCTCAGGAGTTATGGAGACCAAAAAGAGGGAATGAATAGTGGACTTAGATTTGCCAGGTGGCCAGAAACACAACTTCATATGAATGCTAATGTTGCTCTGTGTCTGCTTGATGTCTAAATAGGCAACTGTATTATGAGCTATATCAACTTAAAAGGTGATAATAGTAATTGTTGGGTTCACAGTTTGTTTTCACTGCCAAAAGGAAATCAGCTATTGTGAGTTCAAAATCTCAATTTATGAAAAAAAAAAAATCTATGCATGAAAAGCACTCTTCCTGGTGTAACCCAACAGAGAGGAGCACAGATGGGCAGAAAGAGTAATGATGGGGAGGAGCACATAAATTGGCCATTATCAGTACTTATCTTTTGTTTCTGTGCTAGGAAGCAGACAAACAATACTATGAATACTCTCAGAAAGACAAATGATTACAAAAAGTGGATTGTTCCTAGCATGGACAAGACAGGATAAAGACAGAGGTGGATCACCTCATGTTATCCATGTGCCAAGATGGAGAGACTGGGTTAAAAAAAAAAAAGAACTAAATGCTGAATAATGACATGGTTTAGCCCTTTGTGAGTCACGAGTGTCTCTCTTCCTGCTGCAGCCTCCAGAGCC